CCCAACACTAGACTTACAGGAAGGAACAGTCCAACACTAGACTAAATGGAATAGTTAAACACTAGACTTATGGGAATATTCCAATACTAGACCCGCTGGAATACACCACTGTGTTGTTCATCTATCATAAGTGATGAAGATCACTTTTCATCCAAAGTAACAATGATCAATGATTATGAGTTTGAAGGTGGCTGATTAGTCCAATATTAGCACGGAAAGTTCTTAAGCGGTGCGGACAACAGGTGGAAGCTGCAGTTAGCGTGGGATTTACGATACGGTTCTGTCTAGTCTACCTCTGTTTCTCTGCCTGTGCAACCTCCGCTGCCTGGCAGGCTGATGCATCATGCCTGAGTGATGTACGCCATCCAGAACGGTCTTGTGCAGCAGCCTCCCATGTTGCTGCTTTGATGCCAAAAGAATTGAGAGCAGTTTTGAGTGTCATTATAGCGCTTGTTTCTATCCTCCTAGGGACCTCTTCCTTGCTGGAGCTCGCCATAAAACTCTCTCTTTGGGAAGTGATAGTCTGGCATGGGGGCTAGGTGACCAGCCCAAAGCAGTTGAAGATAACTGACTGAAAGTGACTTGCACAAGGACTTGGATTTTAGTGAGGAAGAATTATGCAATTCTTCTACCTCACTCTCTCACCTGTGTCCATCTTGATCCAATGGCAGGAAAATGTCGAGACCACTGGAAATGGACCCATTTAATACAACACTAGACTTACTGGAACAGCCCAAATCTATCGACTTACTAGAACAGTCTAACATTAGACTGACTGAAACAATCCAACATTAGGCTTGCTAGAACAATCCAACACTAGCAGACTAAAACAATCCAACACTTGAAGACTAGAACAATCCAACTCTGGACATACTGGAGCAGTCTAACATTAGACTGACTGGAATAATCCAACACTAGACAGACTAGAACAATCCAACACTAGATTTACTGGAACAGTCTAACATTAGACTGACTGGAACAATCCAAAATTAGACTTGCTAGAGAAGTCCAACATCAGACAGACTTTGACAATCCAACATTTATACTTACTGGAACATTCCACAATTTAACACCATACAAACGAGAATAATCCAACACCAGACTTACTAGAACAGCCTCTAAAATAATCCAACTTTAGACCCACCAGAAAAGTTTAATACTAACTTTAGTTACTCCAAAAGAAAAAAAAAGGGGGAAAAATCAGAAAACTTTCTATTTTAAAATTTCTCCCTTCCAGGATTGCAGCCTGAATGATTGACACCTAGTGACCCAAAGAAAATCTGTGTTTAGTCATATACAACTGACATACTGGGGAATGCCCCAGATGAGTTACACTCAGGTTAAAACAAGTCAAACAGGGGAGATGACCTGATTATTGAAAACAATTTATGAATATAAGCATGCATACAAGAAGGGGAGAATGTAGGAACCAGGTGAGAGAGGGAGTGAGAAAGACAGATCAGATTATTTTGTTAGAAATACTGTAAAAAAATGAATTATACTTTTTATGCACATAGTAGAACATTGCACATTAGAATAAAAACATATTAATGTAAGATAAAGACAGACTGAACAAACAAATACAATTTAGATCTGTCTTGAGTATTCAAACAATTAATGTTAAGACTGACTTTTATGCACTGCACATAAAACCAGGGGATCAGTAATCAAGAGTAGATTTGAAAAACCATTTCTCCAACAGTTGTGAGCCCGACTCGTAATTCCAACGTACCGCGATCAAAACCTACTGCTGGCTGCATGAATTTTTATCATGGTATGAGGTATCGCAGGTCAAGCCAGCCTAAAATGGGTACCAGGATGTATGTCCTGGGGAAGTAAAGCCGGCTGGCGTAATGCTGACCACATTACCCACCTAGTGCCGATTGGTCTGTTAAAATATGGATGCTCTTCCCATATGCCTGATGCACCTAAAGGCGTGAAAAGGGGCCTTTACTTACTTTCTCCAACAGGACTACAGCTTAAAAGTGATATTCAGTCACTTACACAGCATTATAGAGATGCCAATCCAACAGCAGCAAAATCCCAAAACCCTGTTCAACTACAAAAAAAATTTGTTTGTTTTAGTATCCAGAAGCCATGAGTTGTTAACCCTTTGGCTCGGTATTATGGATTTCGCAACCTTTCGGCCTTGATTCCATTGTAAATACCGTAAATCTGTGAGAAAATGTGGCTTTCCTGCCTACCCTTGGGATTGAACCCGGACCACAAGGAGTTCGTCACCCAGTCTCCGCGCAATCCGGTTTAGCCAACTACTCTAGAGAGCCGGGACAAAAACATTTAAACTGGTCGGTCTCCATGGTGAAGTGATCAAGCCATTTGCCTTGCTCTCTGAAGGTCATGGGTTTGTGGGTTCGCTCTACGGTTGCACTCTTCAGTTCACCAGTGCAATTTTACTAATATCTCTGGGGATCATCGTAGGAGCTACTGAGTTTGTGCTCTGTGCAGCACTCTTGGCAGATGGCTAACAGTTCTGCGAAGAGGTATACTGTGCATAAAGTGCTAAACCTAGATTTTGTAGATCAGTTGGTCAGTGTTTGATGTGGTCAACAATCCAAACTGACCTGGTACCCATTTAAGGTGGGGTCGACCTTGGAGCCAAGGTCTTTTTTTTAAAGTGGATTTAAACCTATGACTTTCTTTAGGTAGGTATCTAGTTGCTATGTAGGTATTTAGTTGCCATGGTGGCTCCTTTATACAGGGTGACAGTTCTTATTGAGGTTAAGTTTTCTGCTAATGAAGTTCTGGCATCTGACTGAGGTAACTGATTTAAATCTCCTTGAAGATTTATTCTTTAAACTGACCTAATATCCTAGACTGATCTTATCTTTTTTTTAAAAAACATAAGGAAATATCCTAAGAAGTAAAGACAGCCAGAAGGATATAAACCATACCACTCACCAAATACTGACTGGTCAATAAACTGTTCAATGCAGACAATTGTTTTGTAGGAATGAAGATTTATCACATTCCCCCTTCCCTGATCTCTAGTATATCAGATGCTTAAAATTATAAAAGGGTAGAAAATAGGTTGTGTTGCTGTGGGCAGATTACAAATCACACAGTCGTTCTTTCTTCCTCTTCATCTTTTACCATTTTTGGTGCCGAGGGAGATATAAGGTTCTGCTTTTTGCTCTTCAACCATAAACACATCATGTTGTTGTAGAGCTTCTCTGATGTTATCTTTCCATCTTATTCTTGTTCTACCTTGTGCTTAAAGTCCTTTCATCTTTCAGTCTATGCCTTGTACGGTAAAGCATCACAAGACATTCTCTCTGAGTGGTCAAACCATTTGATTTGCTGTCTGTGTATGTAATTCAGAATTGGGTCTGTGCTTGGCCTTTTCTCTTATGACCTCATTCCTGATTGTATCTCTTCTGGTCATACTTCTGCGGCCATGTATCTCATTTCCCCCCCCCCCCCCCCCCCCACAGCAAAAAAAGGTGCTGGTACTGCATAATGTTGTTTACCATCAGAAAAAAAAGGGCCCTACTTCCATGTCTAGGTGTGAAAAGTAACATCTAATTAGTTGCCTTTTATGACATGCAAGAATCTATTCTTTTCCCCTCAAAATGGGGCCACGCAACCCAAACGAGGAAAGAGTGAAATAAAATTCTACTTGTGTGTGTGAATAAAACAGAATCCTTTATGCTTGATTTTTTTTTAAATATCCCAAATACAATCTCAGGTATGTGAGAATTGCACTTTTGCTATGAAAAATATAATCTCACTGGTATATCAAATATAATTTTTAAAAAAATGGTAAAAATGAAATCCCACTCTAAAGTAATAAAAATGAAAAACATTTTTATAGGGAGAAAATTAATTTTTAAAACTATACTAAAATTATTACTGTGTTATTAACAAATTAAAAGAGCTGTACTGAGATGGCTGGTGTTAAGTGTTGATGTAACTGTTGACTGATTAACCGTTGATTAACTAACTGTTGATATAACTGGTGATAAGCAATGTAACTGTTGAAAGGTGTTGCAACTGTTGATGGACAAATGTAAATGCTGATGGGGGTAAAGTAACTGTTGATGGACTGATGTAACTATTCATGTAACTTCTGATGGGTTAATTGGCTGGTGTAACAGCTGATGGGCTGATGTAAGTATGGATGAGCTGGTCCAAATGTTGATGGGCTGGTGTAAGTGTTGATGTATGGATGTAAGTGATGGTGGACTAATGTAAATGCTGATGAAGTAATGTAAGTGTTCATAGTCTGATAAAATTATTGATGTAACCAATGATGAGCTGATGTAACCGATGATGAGCTGATGTAATTGTTGATGGGCTGATGTAAATGCTTAAGGACTGATGTAAGTGCAGATTGACTGATATAAGTGTAGACTGGCTGATGTAAGTGTAGACTGACTGATGTAACTGAAGACTGACTGATGCAAATATAGACTGACTTATGTAAGTGTAGACTGACTGATTAAGTGTAGACTTGACTGATTAAGTACTTATGGACTGATGCGAGTGTATACTGGCTGATGTAACTGTATGTGGGCTGGGGTAAGTGCTGATGTCACTGTTAATGGGCTGGTGAAGTTGTCAATGGGTTGATATAAGTGTTAAGAGGTTGGTTGATGGTGTTGGTGGGTTGATGTAACTGCTGATGGGCTCATGTGTTTATGGGTTGATGTAACTGCTGATGGGCTTATATGTTTATGGATTGATGTAACAGCTATTATAACTGTATTTTTTAACTGCTGACAGGCTTATGTAACTATTAAAGGGCTAATATGTCCATCAGTTTGTGGGCTGATGTCACTGTTCATGGGCTTGTGTAAATTTTGACGAAATCCTAGTTTTAGTTATGACACACATAATAACATGTGTACAAATCACATCTTTGGTTCACTGTTTAAAATATATAGAATTACATAATAAAACTGTTTAAAACTTCATTATATAAATATTTGCTAAGAAACGATAGCTATGCTTTCATAATAATCAAAACATGTATGTCTGGCTCAAACTGGGTCAGCGGGGTGTCCAACTTTTGCCAGCAGACGCTGTCTCTCTCTGTTGACACTGATCATAAAGGCCTCTTGTCTGTGGTAGTTGTACACTCTGATCAGAGACATAATGGCTAAGACAAGCCAAAGTATCCAGCCAGCCCATACTCCAAACTAGAGACAACAAACAAGCAAAAGACTGTAAAATTGCAAATACATGTATAACAAATTACAATATCTATTGGATTTTATTGAGATTTGTGTGTTTCAGAAAATATGGGCTTTTAAACTAAAATTGTAAAGAAAGATTCTCTGAATTCCACTGACCAAGAAGAAAAGAAATACTGGCATTCTTAAAGATCTGAACATCAAGGAAAAAATGGCTTGTAAACAGCATTTTGTCTCAGAAACTTAAATACTTGGCAATATCAAGCACCTTGGCAGATCAGAAACAGTAGCACAGGGCATGGTACTGGGTAAGAAAGGCAGATGCTGACCAGCAAGAAGATGGGCACAGAACACATTGGGCAAGAGAGTGCATGAGGTGGAAGAGCTGGCAAGGTGTCGAGTTTCTTTCAGGTGGGTTGTGACGAGATCAAAGCTCTGTAAAGGACCTGCTACATGAGGATTATTTCAGAAAGTAAATCTTTGCCCAAGACATTTAGATGTGCCTTCTTCTGCCATTCATCTCACAACAACTCAAAGTAAGCCTTTTAAAGACCTGTTCATGACTAATTACATTTTGCAGCTGAAGTTTTCTACAGTATGAGACAGTCTCATACCAACCCTCTTTATCTGACTCTCATGACATGCACGTTAGTTTCCATTTGACATTTACAGAATTCTTTGTAAACACAGAAATGGTTCCCACTTATTTAAAAAGTAAAAGACTTTAGGGGTACTGGGTACACAGTGCTAGACCTATAGTTTTAGAAAAATCAACATTCGTTATGCTGGCCACCTTTACTTCCCAGGACTTTACCTGGTATTCATTTAAGGCTAGGCTGATCTGTGAGCCAATTTTTTTTTTTCAACCAGCTTGATTCAGAAATACCATCTCAGTCAACTACTGCATTCAGTTATTCAACAAACGTAGCTCTAAAGATTTGCAATCGCTCACTTTCAGACAATTTCAATCAGCCATTTTGTAGATGGTGAAACATGGCCAGGTTTCTCCACCTTTGTCAGTCTCTGGTAAAGATGTTCACAGATTCACTTTCGAACATTCATCATTCACCCTCTCAGTGTCATCAGACAGAACTTAGCTTTCTCACTTGCTCTCTATCTAAATACCTATTCTATTCAGTGCAGATTCATGAGTTTTTGTTCATGCATCCTTATATTTCACAAGACAACATCAACTACCAACTCCACGCTTTTCTGACAGTTCGTTATGTCTGTCCTGACTCTCGTTCACTAAATCTTTTGCACATCATCTATGATCAACACTATGACATAATTTATGATCAGTAATCTGTCCTAATTTTCTCCTGCAAAAATGAGAAAATTTATCCTTATTTACATGTTTAAAAAAAGAAAAAAAAAAGAAGTTAACCAGAGACACAAATATTGACACAAGACAGCGAAGGCAACATTTACTAAAGTAAAGAACATACTACAGAAGCCCCCTGGTGAACAATTAGTTTAAATTATTTTCACCAATGTGTTCAGAAATATTTCTGGTTTTCCTTCGAAGCTGCAGTGCATCTGCCTGAAAGTTGAGGAACCAACAGTGCTTAAAAAATAAGCCAGATCTGTAAAAGAGATGTGAATGCAACACTCAAGTTCTGAAACAAGACCAAAGTCCAGGAGTGGGCGAACAACCAATACTTTCTGCCAGAGTTTACAGCTTGTGAATGCTGATAAGAAGAAGAAATCTGGTGATTTCCATCATTTTCGGTCAAATACTTTTAATCACTTCACTGATAAGTCTATAAAGATATGGAGTCTTCACCATTGGTATGCTGATTGGTCAACAAAAATACTGGCACTTAACCCTCAGTTTGCTGATTCATCCAAACAAAAAATATGGGCATTTAAACATCAGCATGCTGACTGCTCCTAAAAAAATCTGGGCACTTAACCATCAGTTTGCTAATTATCTCCTTCTTCTTTTCTCTACACCTGGAATGCCTCGCTGCATCAGGGCAGGAAGAGATCTCTGGAACAGGCCCTACTGTCCACTTCATATAAAGTACTTTTCAGTGTCTCTGATATTTCTGCAGTCCATGGTCTGCATGGTCGACCTCTGAATCTGTTACCACTGTATCTGTAAAACATTCCTGTCTTTGGTGCTGTGTCTGATGCCAATCTTGTTACATGGCCAAACCATTTGGTTTGTTGTCTACATATAATGGGAATTTTACTTGCTTCCACCATTTTTACTCAATGACTCCTAACTTTTACCTTACCTGTGTAATCTGCCACTGAATAAAATAATTGCTTGTGTCAACACTCACAGATAACCCAAATGGGATGTACTGTCCTTGCTCACACCTAGGTGAAATAATGACTTATGATTACACGAACATACAGGTATAATCTTCTTCATCCTCATAATCTGAGTCTTATGAACCGGCAAGGGTAATCATGCTTCTATATGGCAGCTATCTTCTTCTTCTTTTCCTGCCCTTTATTCCCAAAGGAGCACTGGCCTTCAACCAACTCACCCCACATTGTCCTATACTTTGCTGCCGCATGCAGTTAAATCAATATCCTCCCCAATTTTTAACTGAACTCTTTAGTTCCCTTCTGTGTGTGTTTTCTGGTCTGTCTTTATTTATCTGATCCTGTGGGTTCCAGTGCAAAGACATTCCAGTTACATTGTTATCAGGTTTACAACAGACATGTTCACTTTCTATTTGTTTGTTCTAAATGATGGTCTTATTATTCTGAGGCTCACACTGCTTCCGTTTCTATTAGTGCCTTGTCTGGCTTTTTTATAACATTAGGGCCACTTCTTGTGTGTGTGTGCGAGTTTATATGTGAGTGCATGTGCACACGTGTGTCTGAGGGTGTGTATCAAATTTGGTATAATCCTAAATTGCTAATCCTAATCTGTTTCATTTCTTTTAACACCTCTGCTACCCTTCCCACTTTATATTAAGTTCCAACATTCCTGGTGCTAGTTATGTAGATTTTGCTAAGTGAAAATAGGTGTGTCTTCTTAACTCCTTTTGGCTTTCTCCGCACTACATCAAAATTCTTTTATTGGCAGAGCCCTCCCCCCACCTCCATCTATGACAGGCTGAGTATTATGTGTTACTGTTTTAGATTACTTCAAGAGACTTGTAACTAAAACAATAAATTTGTGAAACACACACCTATGCACCAGCAAGGAAATCATGGACAAAATCTTTAGGGCAGGCATTTTCCCTGTAGCAACATATGGATGTGAGTCGTGGCCTACCTCATGGTCATTAAGCAAGAAAATAAGGGGTTCTGAGCTGAAATGCTACAGAAAGATTCTCAGATAGCATGCGCAAAAGAGACACACAAAGTACAGACATCCTAAAAGATCTTAAACTCAAGGAAGATTGGCTACTTATTAGCAACTTATCTTGAAAACTGAAATGTTTGCCTTACCAAGCAGCACTACGGATTGGAAAGAATAGCAAGAAAGCAGGGTGCCTGGAAAGAGGGGCAAGGGATGACCAGCAGCAATATGGGAACAGGATATATATGACATCTTGGGTAGGAGAGTGCATAAGGTGGGAAATCTGGTGAGAGACTGAGTTTGTCCCTGGAGAATGGGGGGTGGAAAAGGGGGGGGGGGGGGGTGATAAGAACGATGTTTTGCAAAGGGTCAGATATATGATAATGTTGATGACTTACCTCTCAATGCCCGATCTGGGGTCTGTAACAAATTTACACCACTGCCTAAAGCCCACACTCACAGTTAAGGCAGTTGAAAAAAAGCAGATACACATGACAGAATTGACCACAGAGTTCACAAATGCTTCCAGCCACGAACTGAAAGAGAAGACAATTAATCAGATGAAAAAGCAATCACCCATAAGTCAAACATGTTAAATCGGACTATACCAGTATCTTATTTTTTTTCTTCTGTCTTTTTCTTTTTTATCATTCCCGGGCTGTAAACTCTAGCGCAAAATTCTGTTCCTTTCCCTTCCATTCATGTCACAGCGGGCTGCACGGCTTGTCCTATGTTGTAGGGGTGTCATGTACTACTTATTTCCATTGCTTTAACCGTTGTCTCTTTCACCGCTCACTTGCATGATTATTTCCACTTTGTGCAACTTGCAAGATGGTTTGTGAGTATTAAAACTATAATGTTTTTGTATTTCTACGTTCCTTGTCAGTAGCTTCTTTCCCAGTTTTGATACTCGCGAACAGTTGGGCCTTCTGCGCTTTCCCCTGCAGTACCTCTTGTACACAGATGTATAGGGCGCCTCAAAGAGGCTCATGACAATACAACCTCCCACAAACATTACATACGTTGAGCGAATGCCGAACGAAGCCATCTTATAACACCCTCACAACATAGGACAGGCCGTGCAACCTGCCGCTGCATGAAAGGGAGGGGAAGGAACCCTTACCATGCAGGCAGAATCGTGAGTAGTACCCCAGACAGGAGTCACGTAGTGTAGTGGCTAGATGCCAAACTGCTGACCTAAAGATCTTGGGTTCGAATCCAAACCAACTTTGATTTTTTTTCTCCAAAATGTATGCTGGCTCTCTGGGCCACCCAGCCTAAAATGGGTATCAGTTCATGTCCTGAGATGTAGCAGGAAATGTTAATCATATCCCCCTGAGCATATAAAGAGTCCTTTAGTCATTTACTTGACTACTTTGATGTCAAGAAACAGTATCTGGGCTAAAGTCCTTTACTTGACTACCTTGATGTCAAGAAACAGTATCTAGACTAAAGTCCTTTACCTGACTACCGTGATGTCAAGAAACAGTATCTAGACTAAAGTCCTTTACCTGACTACCGTGATGTCAAGAAACAGTATCTAGGCTAAAGTCCTTTACTTGACTACCTTAATGTCAAGAAACAGTATCTAGGCTTTCTCAACCACAAATGTATACAGGCACAAGGAAGACTACCAATCACCTTTCGGGGACCTAGAGTGATCTGGAATATTTGTATCCCGGATCATTTAAGTATCCCCAAATCCCCAAGATCAGACTACACAATATAATGACATGTAATGCTATAACTGTTAGAAATTACACTCTAAATATCCTGAAATGCTAAACACAACACACAATGTGACTAGAAAGCTCAACACAGGGAATGGACAAGATGCACAAAAATACAACCAAACATTTTGACCAAAGTCTTTATCAACGAAATACTAAATTCAGCACAAACTGTGACCAGAAAACTAATTGGATAAGACAACAGAGCCAATAAAAAACTAAGTTCAACATCAAACCAAGAAGTATGTAATGGGGAAAGGGGGGGGGGGGGGAAGGAATATAAAGGATTATGATACGAAAGGAAAAAAAATATATTGAACTTGACAATCCATATTCCTACAATCTTCTACAATTATTACATAAGCTATGCAATATGAATAACCAAATATAAATAACAGACATAAACACCCATCACTGAAATTGAAAATGCGTCAATTTAAATCAGCATAGTTTGAAAAGGATATTGTTGTTTAAACTACTACTACTACTACTACTATTAATACTACTACTTTCCCGTGTGGGGTTTCGGGGCCCTGTTATAGGGAAAACAAGAATAGACCCACTGCCTACCCAAAAGCTTGTCATGAGAGTCAACTAATTACAAGCTTCCTTCGAAGTCAGAGTACATCTGCATGAGAGGACTGCCAACAGTCTGCATACAAATGAGTCAGATCTGTAAAATGGATGCACAGGCAACACTCAGGTTCTGGAACAGGACTGCAGTCCAGAAGTGGATTAACAACCAGAACTTTCTACCAGAGTTTACAGCTGGTGAATGCGAAGAAGAAGAAGAAGAAGAAGAAGAAGAAAAAGAAGAATACTACTACTATTACTACTACTACTACTACTACTCACCATTCTATGCTTCTTGCCAGCATCACTGATATCCATACTAAATAAAACAAGGCTATTATTAGGGATACCACGCCGATAAATACTGTAAAATTGCAGGCACTGTCTGGTCCCCAGTCAATGTGATCTAAGTTACTGGTAGTGGCTTCTTTTGTCCATTCTCCTCTGGCGTAAAGTAAGCAGTGTCCATTGAAATTGCTGACATTCACCCCGGCAGGGATGCATGCAAAGAATGACATAATAAACAAAAGCAGGTAGAAACAACACTGGGCGAATAAGAACAAGTTATGTAGCCCCATTTTGTGTGATTTGTGTTGTTTTTTGTTTTAACAGAGTATTGGCTTCACACTAACTGCAATCCAAAGAACCGGTTTATTCACAAATATTCCATTCTGTAATTTAATTATAAAATGTGAAGTTGATGTTCAGAATTCAGTAACAATGTTTATAGTTTATGAATAAGTTCATTTAAAGCTAAGTGAAAAACAGAATAAAACAATGCACATTCCCACAGATATATTAGTAAAATATATTATATAATATATATATTAATTATATTCTATTATTACACAATTATATCACAATATCACAATTACTTTTTTTTTAAGTGCACTTAAAATATACTTAACAAGCTGTACTTCTACAAAGTAACAATATATATATGATGTAAATTAATAAAAAAAATAACCAAAAGTGAATATTGACAAACATAAATATCCAACATCGAAATAAGATAAATTATACATCGCAGGTAATACTGAATTATGACCCAGATTTGTCGTTAAAACTGTAAGTTAATAATTATTAATCAGTCGTAGTACTAGTACTAGTAGTGTAGGCTACACTGTAGAAATTCTAAGTAGTTAAAGTAGAGTTCTACTACTACTACTTCTAACTTCTATAGTTTTAAGTCTAGAGTTGTGTACAAACAAAAGGCTAGGTGAATACTGGTTGATTGTTCAATTTTCTGCTTTCGCGTCCTTAAGAATTATTTGGCGTAAGATTTAAACAAAACAAAAAACGTCAGATGACCATAGAACAATAATTAATATAGAGACATTTGTGGCATCCGCGATGATTCAGGGTCAGGTAGCAACTGTTGCCACTTTAGCCCTTATTGTTTTGTGCTATAAATAGTTGTCACGTGACACTAATCAACTTTTAAAGACCACAAATATAGTATAGCCAGAGAAGGTTAAACGTGGTTCAGTTTGTGATTTTTTTTCTTTTTTCTTTAAAGGGAATTGGAATTGTTTGTTTGTTTTTGTATCCAGAAGCCATGAGTTGTTAACCCTTAGGCTTGGTATTATGGATATCGCAACCTTTCGGCCTTGATTCCATTGTAAATACCGTCAATCTGGGAGAAAATGTGGCTTTCCTGCCTACCCCCGGGATTGAACCCGGACCACAAGGAGTACGTCACCCGGTCTCCGCGAAATCCAGTTTAGCCAATTCCGCTAGAGAGCCGGGCGGAATTGGAATTAAAACTAATCAACGACCAAGGGTCGAGCATGGCCCTACGGGTCGAGTTACTGCAGCTTACACCTAGCTGGTGGAGCCGTTAAGGGGACCCTAATTATAATGTGTTAGAGATTGAACGGGGTGTCTGGGATCTTTCTTGTTGGTCTGCCGAACAGACTGAGATTTTTAAATCTTAGGATGGTATGGTAAACTTTTAGGTAACAGTCCAGAGGAGACAAGCCGATCGATCGATCGAACTAACGAGTAATTATTTTAACTTTTTAAAATAGCATACTAGCCCGGCTCTCTAGCGTAGTTGGCTAAACCGGATTGCGCGGAGACAGGGTGACGAATTCCATGTGGTCTAGGTTCAATCACGGATGTTTTCAAGAAAACCACATTTTCTCCCAGATTTACGGTATTTACAATGGAATCAAGGCCGAAAGGTTGCGATATCCATAATACCGAGCCTAAGGGTTAACAACTCATGGCTTCTTGATACTAAAACAAACAATAATAGCATCTAGTTTATATTATTGATGTTAAAGAAAAACACTGTTAGCTAGAAGCAAACTATAGATTCTGACAGAATGAGTTTAAGAATTAACCAACTGCGATAAAATAGGAATATAAGAGGAGGGTTTTTTCTAGGTGGAAAAAAGGTGCCGGTACTCAACGTAAAATGTATAGAAGGTAGTCACCACAAAGCAAGGATATTCAGTTAAACCTACCCAGGGGCCAACATGTTGAAAACAAGGATCATCACACGCCAGAGACCCGAGATTATTAATACAACTGGCAAGGATCCGCATGCCGCTTGTTATGCCTCTGCGGACCGGACTCGGGCTGCTGACCGCCAGTTGAACAGTCATGCCATAAAGTCTTTAACAGTAGCGTTCAAAACCAAGCAGCCTTAAAAATGTGCTATTTCTGCGTACCGTTGCCTCTACCATTCATTCATTAAGTGCCTTGCCGCCTGGCGTGGGCGATCATGCCTCTCCACAATCTGCGATCTGCAACTGCTTGTATCAGTTCGTGTGTTGACACCCCTCCATGCCATGACAAAAGGTTGTAAAAAATCTTTTAACGCTGTCTTCCTCTATCTCTTTTCCCGCCATCTTTCCAGTGGTCACAATATGTTCCATTTTCCCTTTTCTCATAACATGATAAAAAAAATTATGACTGTCTCTTTCTGATGTTTGTGATAAGTTATCTTCGAGCATTCACTTTTTTTCAAAACATCTGGGTTGCTCTTCATAGCTGTCCAATTAATTCTTAGGATTCTTCGGTAAAACCGCATCTCTTGTTTATTAATTGTCCAGGCTTTACAGCCGTATGTTAAAACTGGCTCTATATAGCATGCGATAATTCCTTTCCTAACCTCCAATGAAATGGATTTATTCGATAAAATGTTCTTAATTTTGTAAAATGCAGTTTTGGCCTGACCTATTCTGTTCTTTATCTCTGTGATACATCTTCCATCTGATGTCATCCATGGGCTAAGATGTTTAAATGTCTGTACCCCAATCCAGTTTCGTCCTTTTTAGGACGAAATTTTTTGTTATTTGAAGCCCCACCCTGGCTTTTGCCAGGGGCCGCAATATAGGCAGGCCAATTGTCTGAACGCGGTTTCTGGGACCTCTCCACGGCGATCCTCATCCACATGGTGGCACTTTGTGTCATCGGGTGTTTATCGCTTGTGTGATGTCCTGGTGGGGTAGATAGTCAGTCAGTCAATTTCTGTACCTGTCCTAAAATAGCGCCTTAGACTTTTATTGCCATAATTTTTTTTTAAATTGCATAAGAGTGCTTTCTTTAGAATAAAATAATGAACGCATAGCTGATACGTTACATAGTGTAGAAACACCAGGAAAAGAAATACAATCGAACTAAAAGTAGACCAGCAAGCTTTAGAATATAACATACACAAGCAGAAAGTGAACGTTGCGGGGACAGAGTCTTCATTAGCACAGTACATAAATCAAACAAAATCTCGCCAGTACACAAAATCACTGAACAGAATGATTAGGCCAGCCCCCCCCCCCCCCCCCCCCACCCCAAACACACAATGGGAAACACGAAAAAAAATCTTTCTCACAATTCTTATTGACACACTGGAAATCTTTTTTTTCCTTCGGATAAATTGAAGGAAAAAAAAAGCAGGAACAGCTAGCTAATATGTATCACAAAGACCAGAATTATGATGATCTTTTAAATGAATGTCAGTAACGCAAGCACTACATGACTTGACTCTTACACTGTAAAAAAAAAAAAAAAAGGATTTTGGACATTTTAAAATCTGTTTTCATGATAATTGACACTGCACTCACGTGTCCATATGCATGATGGCAACCAAGTGTACAAGACGAATTTCGGGTATACAAACGTTAGTCTCCTCAAACTAAGCAGGTCACATTCCATTCCTAAGTTTTTTTGGGCTGCACTACCTACCTGCAAGTTACGGGTGTGCCGCTCTGTTGTTTGCTTTCTGGATTGTCTTGCATTTACGTTTTTATTCAGAGAAGGAGAATGCCTGTGACATAGGTTTCATCACTCTCTAAAAGGGTTTTGTGTTAGACCCATTTTGTCGATGTTTTTGGAGTGGTGAAAGCGCTGGCGTGCTGAAATATACAAGACGCGATATCAACGGCATTGCGGAAAACACCCGTAACTTCTGTCAAGGAGCGTGGCTCGAGGTCGAGCAATCAGAAGCGAGCAAGGCTGAAGGTCGACCAAATCAGAAGTAAGTTAGTGTGTAACACTGTGTAAATGGGAAGACTAGCGTTTGTATTACCCGAAGTTCTTTTTCAAGACTACAAATTATTTTTTAAAAACGTGCTTTGCCGCACAATGGTTCAGCATCGTTTGCACTGGCAATCCCTCATATGCATGGAAAATGATATACTACCTTCAAGCCAATGATAAAGCAGTTCTAAGAAAAGATAGGGGAGCTGAGTGGTCTCGAGGCAAGGCGTCCACCTTGAGTGCTGGAGGTCACAGATTAAGGCCCAGGTGAAGGTTGGGATTTTCCCAAGTGGACTTCTAGTAATTTTCCCTGGTCTCTAGGCAGTAAGATGGGACTCGCATGCGTATTACTGCGCGCGTAAACAAATCCCGGTACTTAATTTATAACTTACCCCTGACGTCACGACAACATCACGGGAGACATTCCCAATAAATTCTAGGGTGTTCAGGTTGTAGTTTCTCGCGATTTATCTACAGCCAAGTTTAGGGTTAGGGTTAGGATTAGAAGACACTAGACGAACACTAAAAAAAAAAAAAAAAAAACAGCACACTTCCACCCCTTTAAATAATGGACTGTCAGGTCAGCTGTGGATTTCCCACGGGGATTTCGCGTTTGGGGTACGTTATAAATCCCTGGCAGTTGGAAATCGAAAAGAGTAGCATAACAGCGCTGCTGTTATAAATCTACCTAAAGTATTTCAGGATCCTCGCCGGTACTACAGAGTTCGTGCACTGCGCTGGGATTCTTTGTACTCAGGTTTGAGTTAGAAGTAGAATGGAGCACGTATGGATTACTACCCTTGTGACATGATATTGATCCCTTGTCTGAACTTAATAAGAAAAGAAATGTCGCAAATTCTTCTTATAATAATAAATTCGAAGTCTTATCATCTGGTAATCTGGTAATCCTAGTTTCAGCTTCATAGCAAACGGGTCACCCGTTGAAGTGTCGTTATAATAAATATAGGTTTAATTCTATCAACCATTTACATTTACTTTCTGTGAGTAGTTGTCGTTGGGGCTATAGCACACTGGTTTGTACAGAAGCTCATAGTGATGTTAAGACGGCCCTGAGTTTAGTCATGCTTGCAGATTCTGTCACCAATTTAAAAAAAAAATTTACTTTGTTCCCTTTTAGAATGGCATATCATGATTTACACCTTAAGGATGAGAATCAGACCGGTACAAATTCCTAACACAGTTGAACTGAGGCACCCGAGGGTAACGAAGTAAACTGTAGTCCAGTGTGGGTGGGATATTTTTTAAGCAAAGGATGCTTTTAATTAAGGCGGAAGTACAGAATGCCTGTGTGGTCACTATGGCTTGTAGAGTTTTTCATACACCCTGAAGCCTACTTCTTTCCCTTTTTTTCTATGAGTGCCAATTCTTCTACTTCTTTTGTCGTCTCACTGATATTTGATCATCTTTTTTTTTTTTTCAGGTTTCGCTACACAATTTAACCATGTCTTTCTTGATCTTTCTCTCGCCTTCCTCCCAGATGTTCTGCTGTAAAAACTGTCATATGCAGTTGGTCTGGCTGCATTCTCACTAGATGGCTAAACTAAAAATCAAGACAGGGTCTTATTCCGATTTTCTCTCTAATGCTGATATCCAAAACCTTGTCTCTTCTTGTGTTGTTAGTAACCCTGCGGAGATAGCACATTTCACATGTAGCTATTTTCTGTTCTAGTGCCTATTTAACAGAAAACTGAAGCCGTAAGGTTTCAGGCTAATGGGAAATGGTTCGCTTGGAAGGAGACAGGCAACGAGGTAAGATTTTTTCATGCCCCGCCACGCGACTGGCCTAGCAAGTGTAATTGACTGCTGCGACACAAAAGTGCCTATTAACACCCTAAATTTATTTCTAATGCATGCCTATACGACCCCCCCCCCACCCTCGATCCCCAAATATAATAATTTCTTTTTCTCTTGCGTTCACCCTTACAATGGCGGTTGACAGCTAGCGCCTGATCTGTGCCTTTGAGGCTAACACAACATATATAAGCAAAAACATTTTTTTTTGGCTTTTTAAGACATGCTTGTTATGAGAGGGGCAGTGGGTCTAATTCCACAATCCCTCCCATTTGTTCATATTGGGTACCCCGGAACCCACACGGGGAATAGAATACTAGTACTACTGTAATTCATACTGAAGTGATAAATTTCGCTGTCCGGAAGTTCTGAGCCTTATGATGCCACGTTTTTAACATGACGTCATGAGCAATAGGGGTACCCCTCTAGGGATAATTGCTCTATCGGAAGGAGAGATATTAACTTGCAGGCGTAGAGGATTGTATGTCTGCCAGCGTAAACAGACCCGACTTCTAAAACTGTCTTCCGTGATTTCCCCGTATATTTAGTCCACTTACTTTATATCAGATATGTCCACAATGAACCCAGATTAGTAAGTATTAGAAATGTGTAAGCAGTTGTATAATACATACAGTAAGAGTACTGTAACCAAACGTTTGTTGATTATAATTTATAAATGAAATCAGTTGACAGGGGGTAGTCGTCGCAAGTTTCCGTCATCATATGATCAGTCACACTGCAGACCATCTGGGGTGCCTGTAGAGTTGATCTCTAGTTTGACCCCCTAGGACAGCTAATTGCCTGTGGGTAATGTTGGTGATTGGTTTGGTGACTTATTATTATTCTAAAAAGCTGCTATATGCTAGTGTAATTAATTAAATTAATTCAAACTTAAAAATTTTGTGTGTGTTTTACAAGAGAATTGTTCAAATAAACTTTATTAAAGACTAAATATAGTAAGTAAGTACTACAATAGACCTCACACTGTCCTTCCTATCTATTGAGTATTGTTGTAATAATAATAAATGTGGAAACAGGAAACTGAGTTGAGTTGATACTTACAGATTATATTATTTTACTGTTAGTAGTTATCGGTTATCTTAATTTTTAAAAATACTTTGTGTCAATATAACATAAACTCTTATAATATACAAGTTAAAACCATTCTCAGATGGAAATATTGAAAACATAGTTAATGTGATTTTACTTGGGAAAGTAACACCAAGAGATGTTCAAACAGCAGTCAGAGAGAGTATAATAATAACCAAGGCAAGAAGCTCTAATATCCGTTACTCAATCTTCATTGTAGAAATGACACCTGATTTTTTATTTTATTGACTGCTCTGGACAAAATTGTTTCTGATTTCTTTAATTAGACTTCAGGGAACTCATTTTAAAAAAGTATCCCTAGCATAATATATTTTAAAGTTCCTGTTATGCCAGACACAATGTCTGTGCCAAGCACTTTCTGTATTCTGCTTTGTGTTCTTGAATTAAATAGAATATCTTCTTGAATTAAATAGAATATCAGATTGCATATAAAATAATGACAAAAGAACATGTCAGTCATGACCTACTTGTTCATAACCCATGACCTGAAGGATCCCAATGATGACAATTGGTGTATTTGTTTGCCAACACAGCAGTCGAAACTCAGCCCATAACAGATTTTATGCAGGTATTGACCCTGCCCTGCAGTGTAGTTGAGATTTGATTGATAAAAATAAAGGTGATGTGAAGAAGGGAGCTTGTCACAAAATCTGTATCCTGGTATAGTATCTGTGAGGTTTTATTTCACACATCAGTGGCAGTGTTTGTGGCACAGTATTTATGTTCTGTAAACAAAATTTCAAACTGGCTTCCTTTAAAAAAATGATTTTGTTCATATGCTTTTGGATGTATATCTTGTGCTAATGTATATGTGGTTCAACAACAGACATATAATTTGAAATCTAGATTGGTTTCTGATTGGTAAAGCTTAGGTAGCAGATATATGCACGTGAAGTGTGAATAATTTTGATGCTTGTTGTCACATACTGATGCACTCCTCTCAGCTATGACTACTTTTGTCAGCTACTGACCCACTCTTCTTCCCAATCTAAAAGCTAAGTTAGGTTATTACTTGTCAGTTTGATTTGTCTAAACCAGTAAATCATAATTTTGGTTTTGAGCTTGTCAGTCACATGCTTTGTAGAACACATCACTTGATACACTTCTTTCTATTGTATTAAGTTTGCTGTAAATTCAGAACTCTTGATGCCTGGATCTGGGAACTGTAGGTGATTCTCATGCTTTGGGAACTATTTCAGGCTTAGAGTGCTGTCTAGATCACACTGTTCTTTAGGCTGACAAAGGCTGTGCATATTTTCTGTTGTTGTTACTCTGAGCAAATGACTGTTTTTTTTAAGGGAAAAAAAAATCAGAGCTTTTGAACTGAAATGCTAGAGAAAAATTCTTAAAATACTCTTAACACAAAATGGCATTATGTGACTCTGAAGGTGGAGAAGTCTGTAAACAAGACTTCTATCCTGGAAACAAACAGAACATTTCCTTCATGAGCTGTCTGATCAAAAGACTGTGACTTGCCTTTGCTGTTCCTAAATTAGTGCTGTTATGGTGGAAATCCAGTATTGTGCAACCATCTTGGGAAGTAACATCTGGACATATCATTGGGTTGTATCTGAACCGACCCTGTATGTGCAACAGCCTGTGCTGAAATAGAGGCTTGACGTACGGACATGAGGTGTACAGGGTGCGACAGTGCCGTTGCTGTGCTCAGAGAAGTTATGTATGCAAATGAAAACTGCTTAAAATGTTTTTTTTTTAAAGTAATATTAATGTCTCAACAAGACAATAAATAATACACTTACATAGACACTGGCATTGTATGCACATCCATTTTACAGATCTGGCTTATTTGTATACAGACTATTGGTTCCTCACCTCACACTTACATAGACACTGGCATTGTATTTTTCTTCCCAGTTTGGGTTATAGAGCTCCTACTTGGAGGGGTGGGTTGGGGGGGGGGGGGAATAGAAGACCCACTGCCGCCCAGCAAGCATGTTGTAAAAGTAATCTAATTAGGGAAGTTTCCTTCAAAGTTGGAGGTGAGGAACCAACAGTCTACATGAAAATAAGCCAGATTTGTAAACTGAATGTGTACGCTAAACTCACGTACTGGAACTAGTTCCAGAAGTAGACAAACAACCAGACCTTTCTGCTAGAGTTTACAGCAGGTGAATGAGAAGAAGAAGATGTCTGTATGTGTACAATCTTTGTGTGTTTTAGTTTTCTCACATTTTATTGTTGATAGTATTCTGTGATATATAATTTTTTTTTTCAAACTCTATTCACAGTGATTATCTGTTCAAACTTCTGCTGATTGGTGACTCTGGTGTAGGCAAATCTTGCCTGTTATTACGGTTTGCTGTAAGTTATTTTGTGCACACACACTTGAACTCACATTTTCACTGTGCTTTGCCATTGTTTCTTGATTAGTAACATTTGAGACATGGACATTGCTCGGCTAGACTTTAAGGCCAGATGGTGAAGCTATTTGCCTGGCACTCTGAAAGTTATGGGTTCGATTTCACACTCCATCCTTCAAGTTGCCAGCAGAGATATTACTGGAGGCTGTTACTGGAGTTTGGTGCTTTGCCGGATCGACATCATGGCACACTGGTAGTAACCAATAAGTGCTCCGTTCTTCTTCTTACTCAAGTCGAGTCCGAAGAAGCTTAGCACAGTGCACAGGCTCTATAGCCCCGGCGAGGATCCTGAAATACTTAATGTAGATTCTCAACTTCAAATTTTGCCCGGGCAGCGCCGTTAGGCTACTCTTTTCGATTTCCAATTGCCAGGGGATTTTCTTTAAGTGCACAACAATGCACAGGGGCATCGGATCTCACTACCCAGAGACCATGGGCAATTACTAGACGTCCAAGTCCATGTGAAAAAATCCCAGCTCTTACCGGGGATTGAACCCGGAACTTCTAGCACTTGAGGCGGACACCATACAAAACAGGTTCTGGGACAAGAGTAAGGTCCAGAAATTGATTAACAACCAGATCTGTCCGCCGGAGTCTAAAATCAGTGAACATGATGAAGAAGGGGAAAAACTCTTATTTTCCTGCATTGGTTCCAGGGACCTGTTGGTGGTGTGGTGGCAGAGGAACTAAATCTGCTGCAATCCTAACAAGCATGTTGTTAAAAAAAAAGCAACTAATAAGAGGTTTGCTGAAATTGAATGTCTTAGGCTGAGAGGCTTAGCTCAGATGTTGCTGCCTAGATGTAGATCAGATCACAGCGTGTCAGCTGCCTTTAAAGGGCAAATGCAAAACAAGAAGAAACACCCTTGAAAATCTTGTATCATGCAGGAAGCAAGAGAAAAAGCAAAACAGGAGAATAAACAAAAATAGAAAAAAAATTCTTTCAAGGTGCTTGGCACTGTCTCACAGAAACAGCTAATACTTTCAAAATCTAAACTGTAAATCATGTACACACTGTAATAGAGATACAGACCAACTTATAAATGCTTGCCAAATCCATTACTCGCACATGTGTTTATAAGGGAAAGGGGGGGGGGGCATGAGACTGTCTATCATATCTTGTAGAAAAATGGAGCTGCGGGAACCAACAGTTTATGTGCAAGTCTACCTGTAGCTTGATGGGAGTTGGCAGAAGGCCTATGCTTCTCATGGAGTTGAAAGTGATTTTGAAAAAAGTCTACTACGCAAAAGAAAAGTTATCGTTTCTGACCCAGTCACTATTGTCTTGACTGCTTTTGAAGGTGGTGCAGTAGCGGGGGGCGTGAGCATGAGGATGTAACGCAGCATGGCCTGTGCTGTGACCATGGACTGCAGGTTGAAGTGCTTCATAAATTTGTTTCACTGACCCCTGTAGTCTGCAGACCCCTGAATGGAAAATACTGGCCTAGATTGTGTGACACACTTCATGTTCCAACAGCAGAAACATCTTTAAGGTTACCATTGTCCTTTCAAGTTCTATATTAAACATTTTTAATTTTATTTTAGTTAAATTTGTATGTTGAGTTAATGGTTTCACTGATTGTATTTATTTTGTTCTGCTTATCTAGGATGACACATACACAGAGAGCTATATCAGCACAATTGGTGTGGATTTTGTAAGTACAGCTGTCATACTGTGATAAAACATGTTTTCATTGTTAAAGTTCCATTGCCAAACCGATATTAATTTATTAAAGCTTCAACAAATTTTCTGAGAATTACCTGATAAGGAAAGGCAATGATGCCCCCTTCCCTCTTAAAGCTATGAATGTGTGAAGCCAGACACTTGAGATCTCCACAACAGTTTTTGCTGTGGGACAGTTCTAAGTTGTCAAAAGACTGACACTGTTAGCATTTTTGTAACTGCCAATGTGTAATTGGATCAATACTGTAGCACTGTTTTCTGTGGATATGCATGATTAGTATGTCAATTTATTCTTTGGTATAATTTGAACTTTAACGCTTGTAAATGCCTTAATCATGCAAAATCATAAATGTGAAAGGTAAAGACGGGAGATGTGAACCAGCGTCATTGCACACGGTTATAACCATAAGTGCTCTGACACCAGTGTGGACAGCTGATAGGAAACTGTCCGCCTGTGTCGCCATCTGCACGAAACTATGTAGCTACAGCGACGTTCCTCAATTTACCCCAAAGTGTTAACTCTGGTATCCATTACCTAGAGGATGGGTGAACTCCGGGAACTGTCCGGTTTCGAATACCGGCCTGTGGCTGCAGTGAGTTGCAGCTGGATTAGAAAGCGAGTCTCTATCGACTGCGCTAATGCTGCAAAATCGTATCACATGTAAACATGACAGGTTTTGATATTAGTGTAACTTTAAGGAAATGTGAACAATATTCTGATACTTTTGCTTTTTGTTACCCCAATGGAGCATGGATCCTTAATTCATGTCAAGTCCTCTTGCTTTCCTGGCTGGCTCACACCTAAGTCATAGCCATTTTTTTTAAAATGGGCAATATTTTAAGTAATCAGTTTTATTGGCCAGTCTCTTGAATGTTTGAGGCATGTGTCAAGGCTGCCACAGATAGTGGTCCACAGAGAGCCATGTCACTGGATGGATAGAGGGATATCTGAGGCCATAAATACCAACACGCCCCTTGCCTCTTTAAAACCTGACACTGAAAGGCAGAACAGGACTTCTTCTACTTTCCAACCCTCAATGGAGCATAGGCCCTCAACTAACTCACACCAAGTCATTCTGTCCTTTAGTGTTGCATGCAGTTTGACATGTCCTCCCTTTCTTTTTAACTTCACCCTCTAGCTTCTTTTCCATGTAATATTTTTTTTTGGAGGAGGGGGGGGGGGGGGGTACCTTTATGTCTATGCCTCTGGGGGTTTCAGTGCAAAGATATTTTAGTTATGTTGTTCTCAGGTTTTCTCAGCATGTGTCCAGAACAGGGCTAGAGAAGAAGCATTGTATTGTTGGCACCTTTCTGTCTGTCCAGATGATAGTGTTCCATTATGCTGAAGGGAGGCTTGGAAATCACAGCCTATGTGGATAACCAATTAAATCCATGGATGATGCTTCTCCTCTCCTTAGCACAAAACCTGGGCAGTATTGTAGAAACTAAGTCTTGCCTATACTGCATGATCCCTTTTTTGACATGCTTTGTTAACTCCGGAGGAAAGGTAACTTCAGTACATTTGGAACAGAGCATGCTGCCGAAGTTATGAGATCAGAAGGAATAGCGATGCTCTGTTTGCTTGTCAGAGCTTACCTGTCAGACCAAGGCTGAAAGCCTGGTCTGCCTGCCATAAATCTAAATTTTCAGGCTGCCTTTCCTCATCATTGGATCAGGCTAGCCTCCTCTCGAAAGCATTCCTGTCCGAAGCTGTTGGCACAATTAGGACTTCAGGTTTTGGTATACATCACCTGATGTTTGATGTTAACAGAGAACAGGCAGTACCGACTAAGAAGCTGACTCTGGGTACTCAGTATAGTAAGTGCTGAATTGTTGTTCCATAGCTGTTGTGTTTTGTCTTTCAGAAAATCCGAACTATAGAACTGGATGGCAAAACAATCAAGCTGCAGATAGTAAGTGTTTTTACTAGTTAACTTAACCTACATTAACCATTTCCTGTTTGATGTATAATTTTAGCATCTCACAGACTATAGAATTCACTTGGGCTTGCACCTTATAGACAGATGTTGCCTTAATTAATCCTTTTATCCATCTCATCAATTATAACCTTTGTGTTACCAAATGGTCAGCCTGACATCTTGCTGCGACAGTGTAGTGGGCTAGACACTCACCTGGCAGCCCGAGGGTCTTGAGTTCGTCTGCATCAAAGCAGACTTTTGTGTGTGTGTGTGCACAATAGACCTTGGCTCCCAGGTCAACCAATCTAAAAAATTGTACCAATTAGTATCCTGGGAAGTAAAGGTGGCTTGCTTATCCACTGAGTGCTGATTAGTCTAAAAATATGAGTCCGTCATCATGCAAATAGGCTTCAAATGAAAACTTTAAAAGTGGGATATAAATTACAATTACCATGCCATTGTCTTTATAGTTGACAGTATTGTTATTAAGGACGTCAAGAGTTTTAAGTATTTTCCCCTGCAGTAATAGTTGCTTGGCTCCATCATCATCATGTAGCAGGTCGTTTGCAGAACGTCACTCTCATCATGATCTGCCTGAAAGAAACTCAATCTCGTGCCAGTACTCCCATCTCGTGTACTTTCATTCATATTCAAGGAGTCACGTATAGTCTGTGCCCATCTTCGTGTTGGTCGGCCCTTGCCCCTCCTTCCTGGTACAATGCCTTCTGCTATTTTTTTTTTAAATCCGTGGTTGCGCTTGATATGACCAAAATATTTCAGAGACAAGATGCTGTTTATAAGCCAATCTTCCTTGAAATTCAGATCTATTAAAAAGTCAGTATTTCTTCTCCTCTTTGTCCCTGGTATTCTGAAAATCTTTCTGTAGCTTTTTAGCTCAAAAGCCCATATTTTCTTTCATAAGGATTTAGAGATGGTCTCTGACTCACATCTGTATGTTGCTACAGGAAAGATGCATGCTATCAAAATTTTGATTTTGATTTCCTTGCTATGGCCATCCTCCTTTTTATTTGTCAAAGTCTCCATTACTGTTTATTATAGAGCCTTGATATTCAAAGTGTTTATTAGCTCCATAGAGGTTAAAATAGCTACAGTAAGTCACCAAAAGGGTTAAAGTAACACTTGGGTTGACACAGGTTATTATAACAGCTACTTGGGAAACAAAGTATTTTAAAAGGCATATGTGAGGAGTAGGCAGTAATTGGGTCTGAGATGAATGAGTTAACTAAGTAGAGCATTTCTTCTACAGTGGGACACTGCAGGCCAGGAAAGATTCAGAACTATAACATCCAGTTATTACAGAGGCGCTCACGGCATTATAGTTGTCTATGATGTCACAGATCAGGTATGTGTCTCCCCAGCATGTTTTGATTCTTTGTGACAGGAAGTAAAAACCAAGGTCTGAGTTTAAACAGTGTGGAAAAACTGACATATTGGTAGTTACAAGAAGAAATGTCCCACAGAATGCAGCATCAAAGTTAATGGAACAAGTCTAAAGTAGATTGATATATTTAAGTACTAGAGGAAGTCCATATGTAAGTTCCAAACGGTTATGGGATTGCAGGAAAATGTTGATGGTTTCTAAAGGTGTCATTAGGTGACAGCAATATTAAACTGTATGTCTCCGTTCATTAGATGTTGTTGCATGCACATTCGCAACACAAAAACAAATGGTGACTATACTTACAGAGTGTATCCTCAAAGAAAAATGTCGTGTTGTGCGTTTTTTTGGGGGGTGGGGGGCTGCAAAGGGCATTCATAAGGAAATGCTTTCTGTTTTATGCTGACAAATGTTTATCCCACAAAGCTATGCATAACTGGGTAAATAGTTTTTCTCAAGAACGTTCTACGATTGTTGATGGCATCTGATCTGGTCATCCTGTTGAGATTGGAGCAGATGCATTCGTCTGACTCTATAGCAGCTGCAGTAGGGTGCTCACATGGTTTTTTGGCGGGAGACATTTCACGACTGATGCAAAATGGGAATGTGAAGTGAAAATGTGGTTTAGAAAACAGACCACACAGTTCTGTGCAGCAGGTTTGGGAGGACTGGTAAAACAATGGGACAAGTGCATCAGTGTTGTTGGAAATTGTGTTGAAAAATAAAGGGACAGTGTATGTGTAAAAATAAACGATTTTCACCTTGTTACCCTGTGTATTTGTTTGTTTTAAACAACGATTTGGGACTTACTTTTTTTTACTTACCCTCATATGAAGGTACCCAGATAAAAGCAAATGGAATGTGTAAAAGAAGATCATCATGTAGCAGGTCCTTTGCAGAAAGTCGCTCTCATCACGGTCTGCCTGAAAGAAACTCGGTCTCTCGCCAGCTCTTCCGCCTCATGCACTTTCATACTTAAGGAGTCACTTATATCCTGTGCCCATCATCGATCGGTCGGCCCCTGCCCCTCCTTCCTGGTACCATGCCTTCTGCTATAATTTTGTCCAATCTGTTGTGGAACTTGATATGACCAAAATACTTCAGCTTTTGAGAAAGGATGCTGTTTATTAGCCAATCTTCCTTGATGTTCAGATAATTTAAGATGTCAGTATTTCTCCTCTTTTTCGTCCAAGATATTCTGAGAATATTTCTATAGCATTTCAGCTCAAAAGCTCCTATTCTCTTTCTTAAGGAATGGGAGATAGTCCACGACTCACATCCGTATGTTGCTGCAGAGAAGATGTATGCTCTCAAAATTATAATTTTGATTTCCTTGCTGGTGCTTAACCATAGACTTTTTAGGCTGTTTGATCTTTGCATTGCTATAGCCATCCTCCTCTTAATTTCTGTTAAAGAGTCTCCATTGCTTTTTATTATAGAGCCTAGATATTCAAAGTTTGTGACATTTTCAATTTCTTCGTCATTTATTGTTATTTTTGGGCGACGGCTAGTTTCATCTGTGGACATTATTTTCATTTTCTTTAAATTCAAGAACAGATTTTGATCTTAACTGTGCTTTTGAACAGACATTAAATTTTCTATTTCCTTAACGCTGTTTGAAAGGAGGACTGTGTCATCTGCGTAGTGAAGTTCCGGAATAGGGTTGCCACAAATTTTGAGCGGATCATAACTGTCACAAGTCTGGTCATTTTTGACATTTTTTCATAATATTTTCTGTGTATATATTGAATAGGTATGGGGAGAGAATGCACCCCTTCCTCACTCCTATTTGCACCTCGAACCAGTCCGATGTTTCACAAGCTGCTCTGATGGCTGCTTGTTGTTCTTTATAAAGATTTTCAGTTAAATGCACCAAATGCGCTGGAAACACCATACTTCTCATAATAGTCCACAGTTTCTGATGTTGGACACAATCTAATGCCTTGCTATAATCAATGAAACAAGCATGAAGATCTACGTTGTATTCTCATATTAAAGATGTGATCCCTAGTTTCTCTACCCTGTCTGAAACCCGCTTGTGCTTCATGTAGCTCATATTTTACTTTCTTTTCAATCCTCTTCATAATAATTTGTAAGAGGATTTTGCTAGCATGACTTATTAATGTGATGGTACAGTAGTTTAAGCATAGTTTCAGATTTCCTTTCTGTAGGAGAGGTAGATAGACTGTTTTTTTCCCCATGCTTTAGGCCAAATGCCACTGTTCCAGATCTTCGGGCACTGTGCAAGGTAAATTCAGACGCTGGCCTCTCCTCCTGCTTGAATTAGTTCTGCTGGTATTTCGTTGCAATCTGGTGACTTTCCTTTCTTCAGGCTGTATATTGCTGATCGTACCTCATCCAGTAAAGGCTCTGGTTCTTTTTAAAAGAAGATAAATGTAGAATATCTGTACTTGAGTATGGGGGGGGGGGGGTGTATTGTATATTGAGGAAGTTGAACCTTGTGTTGTGAAAGTGCCTTTGCAAGTCTAAATTAATCATTGATGCTGTGCATTTCTTCTTTGTCGCCTTCATTGGCTGTAAACTCTGGTGGAAAGTCCTCATTGTCCGTCCACTTCAGGACTTTGGTCAATTCCATAACTTGAGTTTAGTGTGCACCTCTGTTTTACAGATCTGGCTTATTTGTGTGGGAACTGTTGGTTCCTCATGCATTTTGGCTTCAAAGGAAACACCTGATGGAGTTGCCTTCAATGACATGCTCGTCAGAGGGGCCAAAGAAAAAAAAATAAATAATTATGTCCTCAGTAAACACAGCACACCAACCACGTATCACAATAGAAAATGAAGAAATAGAAAATGTAAGGTATTTCAAATACTTGGGCTCTTTGGTGAATAACAGTGGAGACTGCTCAAAAGAAGTCAGAAGAAGACTTGAATTAGCAATGCAGAGATTAAACAGCATGAAGAACCTATGGCAAAGCACTTGTAAGTTTGTTAAAGTAAAAATCTTAAAAAAATTTCCTGTGGCAACTTACGATTGTGAGTCCTGGACTCTCACTCAAGCATTGAGGAAAAAGACTGGAGCTTCTTAATTTAAAATGTTACAAAAGGATTCTCGGATCAAGAAGAGAAAAAACATTGACATTCTGCCTGAGTCGAACATCGATAAGAACTGACTCTTAAACAGTGTCCATTTCTGAAAGTTGAAGTATTTTGGCCACATCAGATGTCATTGTGGCTTTAAATTTGTAAATGCGCTCCGAAATTCATACCTGATTATCGGTGACTGAATTTTTGAAATATTAACCTGTACCATGCTACTGAAATTATTTGTAGATGCATGAACGCATGAACTTTTATCTTCTTTTTCGGCCAGGAGTCTTTCAATAATGTGAAACAATGGCTTCAGGAGATTGACAGATATGCTAGTGAGAATGTGAACAAATTGCTAGTGGGAAACAAGAGTGACTTAACTACAAAGAAAGTGGTTGACTTCACCACAGCCAAGGTCAGCAGCAAACTGTCAGGCACTGCTAGCCTGTCTGTAACCAGGAGATCTGTCTTGTCTGATCGATCACTGTGTAGCACATAGCATTTGTCATAACACTTCTGTCTGATCACTTTAACACTTCATTTGTCATAACACATCTCTATCTGATCACTTTAACACATCATTTGTCATAACACTTCTGTCTGATCACTTTAACACATCATTTGTCATAACACTTCTCTGTCTGATCACTTTAACACTTCATTTGTCATAACACTTCTCTGTCTGATCACTTTAACACTTCATTTGTCATAACACTTCTCTGTCTGATCACTTTAACACATCATTTGTCATAACACTTCTCTGTCTGATCACTTTAACACTTCATTTGTCATAACACTTCTCTGTCTGATCACTTTAACACTTCATTTGTCATAACACTTCTCTGTCTGATCACTTTAACACTTCATTTGTCATAACACTTCTCTGTCTGATCACTTTAACACTTCCTTTGTCATAACACTTCTCTATCTGATCACTTTAACACTTCATTTGTCATAACACTTCTCTGTCTGATCACTTTAACACATCATTTGTCATAACACATCTCTATCTGATCACTTTAACACATCATTTGTCATAACACATCTCTGCCTGATCACTTTAACACATCATTTGTCATAACACTTGTCTGTCTGATCACTTTAACACTTCATTTGTCATAACACTTCTCTGTCTGATCACTTTAACACTTCATTTGTCATAACACTTCTCTATCTGATCACTTTAACACATCATTTGTCATAACACTTCTCTATCTGATCACTTTAACACATCATTTGTCATAACACATCTCTGCCTGATCACTTTAACACTTCATTTGTCATAACACTTCTCTGTCTGATCACTTTAACACTTCATTTGTCATAACACTTCTCTGTCTGATCACTTTAACACATCATTTGTCATAACACTTCTGCCTGATCACTTTAACACTTCATTTGTCATAACACATCTCTGTCTGATCACTTTAACACTTCATTTGTCATAACACTTCTCTATCTGATCACTTTAACACATCATTTGTCATAACACTTCATTTGTCATAACACTTCTCTGTCTGATCACTTTAACACTTCATTTGTCATAACACTTCTCTATCTGATCACTTTAACACTTCATTTGTCATAACACTTCTCTATCTGATCACTTTAACACTTCATTTGTCATAACACTTCTCTATCTGATCACTTTAACACTTCATTTGTCATAACACTTCTCTGTCTGATCACTTTAACACTTCATTTGTCATAACACTTCTCTGTCTGATCACTTTAACACTTCATTTGTCATAACACTTCTCTGTCTGATGACAATAACACATCACTTGTCACATTTCTCTCTATTTAATTACTATAACACATCAGTTGTCACAGCATATCTCTCTGATGACTATAACACATCAGTTGTCACAACATATATCTCTGATGACTATAACACATCAGTTGTCATAACATTTCTCTCTATTTGTGACTATAACACATCAGTTGTCACAACACACATCTCTGTATAATCACTATAGTATGTCACTTGTCACAGCAGTTTTCTGTCTGATCACTTAACACATTGTCACAACACATGTGACAGCTGTAGTACTTGTCACAACACTTTCCATTTGTCTAATTGTAGGAGTATGCAGATCAGCTTGGTATACCATTCTTGGAAACCAGTGCCAAAAATGCCACCAACGTCGAGCAAGCCTTCATGACAATGGCTGCCGAGATCAAGAACAGAATGGGCCCTGTCACCGCAGCATCGGAGAATAAATCTAGCATGAAGATAAACTCCAGTACGCCTGTTAGTCCAAACAGAGGGGGCTGTTGTTAATGTATACTTGTTGCCTCCCTATAACGTACCATATGGTGTGTGGCCTGTTCTGAATGAGGTGTTGATTGGAACGTTTTCGGCAGTAAATCCTGTCCTAATTTTTGTTTATTTTCCTCACTAAATGAAACAGTGTGCTATGTTCTTATATTATTCTTGGACACTTGAAATATTTCCCTCCGAGCTGCTCTGTCCTGAGTTGTTTTTTTCTGCTCTTGATTCCCATATTTGTGGCTCATCGCCCAAGAAGATATATTTTGACATTTACTAGATAGCAAAGTATAGACTTCCTCATAATTTTAATGCCATTAGCTCATGAATCGTTTTGTTCTCACAGCACTGCCACATCTTATAGAGATCATTGAGCACTTGTCAGGTTAGTTTCCGCATTAGCTCTTTCTGTCCCAATCAGGACATTTGGTGTGATTGACCAGGCTTCTTGTGTATCTTTCAGTGCACTGTGTTATTGTAATTCTTTTGTTTAGTCAGTGCATAGTGAAAAAAATCTGGCCACATTTTTTTTAACTTTGTGTGAATTTTTGGTCTATGTAAAAGTAATACGCTTATGATTTAGGTTTTGTTATTTCTGTATTTAAAAGCTGTTTTGATGTTTTGGCGCTAAAATAATTAAGACCTGTCTATTGAAGCATGATGCTACTACTTAATATGGTTTTGTTAATTCACCTCTGTTCTATTTACTTGTTTGTGTACCACAGCTCGAACCAGTATCTGATATTAGACTTTGTAGCCAGCTTTGGCAACTATAAACCTCTTTGAACTACAGTAAGATCTAATGTCCTCTCAAAAACAATACGACAGGGCTCAGTCGAGGGGATGAGGAGAAAAGGCTGACACACACAAAAAAAAAAGACCTGGATACAGAACAGGAGAGGTGATAGGCACGCAGCCATGAGGTCCATCTCATCTGATCGTCAGAGGTGGACAGAGCTGACCCGACGACACGCAGTGTCACGGGGTGAAGATGTTGATAAGCCAGGTTGGCGTCTGTGGCTCAGGCGTTGCGAATGCACTTTGTAGTGCCTAGATACCCAATTATATTCCAGCTGCTGACGATCTGGCAACAGGCCGCTTTGCGATAATTTTGACAGTGATGTTGAGAGCTAGGACACTGATTGTTGAAGCGACAAATTCGTGGATCGGAAAAATGAGCACTGCCTTATCCAGTTGTCTTCTAACACTTTGCTTGCAGTTGTATCCAATCCAGATTTATGTATCGTTTATATTTATTGCTCTTATGGTTGTTTAAAATTAGACTTTCACGAGGCAGTTATTTCATCCTTGAAAATTCTAACTCTTCTCAGTTCACCCTTAAAATGGCAGTTAGTACATTGTGGTTTAAAGCTAGGCTACAATATCTACATCTTTCGGCTCAACAAATATGATTTCATCAATTTCCTGGCTAATCGTATTTTATACTTTTTAGGTGAGCGGTGAGCATTCTTTTTCTCAAAAATGGGGTAACGGAAGACACACGGCGAGTTATTGTTTCAAATAGATGGTCTGACTTTATGGCTTGTGTGTGGAGCTCATTAAAACCGAGATTATTATTTCATCTGTGTAAATGAGCTTGCATAAAAATGGATTCACTGTGTCTTGTTGTTTTACATGGGGGGTGGAGGGGATATTTTGTGTAGCAAGTGATATGACCCCCCGCTCCACTGGATTAGTTCACCTCATCACGTGGAGAAATGTCAGTGATTAACTTCTTCTTCTTGCCTTCATTAACCTCTTCCTGTGTCAGGGAAAGTATAAGGTTCTGCCTCTTGCTCTGCTGCCCGCTTCAACCAAAGACACATCGTACTAGAGTCTCTATCTTGTTCTTGGTCTGCTGGCCGCTTCAACCAAAGACACATCGTACTAGAGTCTCTATCTTGTTCTTGGTCTGCTGGCCGCTTCAACCAAAGACACATCGTACTAGAGTCTCTATCTTGTTCTTGGTCTGCTGGCAGCTTCAACCAAAGACACATCGTACTAGAGTCTCTATCTTGTTCTTGGTCTGCTGGCCGCTTCAACCAAAGACACATCGTACTAGAGTCTCTATCTTGTTCTTGCTCTGCTGGCCGCTTCAACCAAAGACACATAGTACTAGAGTCTCTATCTTGTTCTTGGTCTGCTGCCCGCTTCAACCAAAGACACATCGTACTAGAGTCTCTATCTTGTTCTTGCTCTGCTGCCCGCTTCAACCAAAGACACATAGTACTAGAGTCTCTATCTTGTTCTTGGTCTGCTGCCCGCTTCAACCAAAGACACATTGTACTAGAGTCTCTATCTTGTTCTTGGTCTGCTGGCCGCTTCAACCAAAGACACATAGTACTAGAGTCTCTATCTTGTTCTTGGTCTGCCTTGTGCACTGTCCCTCTCTTCTTTTGCTCTGTGCCTTGTGTTGTGATTAAAAAACTTCATGTATTGTTCTGTGTTTTTTGCTTGTGTTATGTTGAAGTTTTTACTTAATGACTTATGAATGAGCTAGATAGGCGTGTGTGCTTGTGATGTATGTTTTGTTTTTGCGCTCGCCCCTGTTCATTCTTAGAGCTTATTTGATTTTTCTGTCACTTTCTTTTATTATCCGATTAGAATTGGAACTGTGTTGGTGTAAGCAACATTTTTAGTATCTGTCTGCAAGATTGTTTTTTCTTCAGATTTCTGGTTGAAATATGCATATTTCTTAATTATTAGTGAATTAGGTTTGTTTGTTTATTTATGATGTACTCTTGTAAAGATTATAAAGCCAGTTTATTTTCATTTTATTTACTCATTATGTATGTAGCAAATATTCATTTTGCTTGTTCTGTTTAAAGCAAAGAAAGTATTTGGTCACTTCCCTGTCATTCTGAAAGTCTGCTCCAAATCCACATCAGTGTGGTTTTTATTTTTAAGAAGAATAACAGTGGCTCCCAGGTTAGCCCAGTTTACAATTGGCACCAGAAAAGTTCATGGAAAGTGAAGGCGGCTAATGTGATGTTGACCCCATCGCTTGTTAAGTGCTAATTGGACTGTTAAAAAAACAAAAACATGTCTAACATCATATAGCTGATGTGCCATTGGCATAAAAGGGTTCTTCTTCACATTCACCGGCTGTCAACTCTGGTGGAAAGCTCTGGGTGTTCAGCCACTTCTGGACTATAGTCCTGTTCCAGAACCTGTGTGTTGCATGCACATCCATTTTACGGAGCTTACTCATGTGTATGCAGACTGTTCAATTCCTTGCCTCTTGGGCACTCCCGACTTTGAAGAATGCCCTCAATTAGTCCACAACTACATGCTTTTGGGGAGGCAGTGGGTCTATTCTTCTCTTCCCAAAAATGGGCCACAGGACCCACACAGGGAGTTTTACACAAGTTTTTATTGTAAGTAATAAATATTTGCGTTAGGGGAGTTTGTGGGGCAGAAGAACTAACAGTTGGGGCAGGGTGAATGAAGAACTGACATCATAACACATTTGGGATATTGCCACATGGCTCCGACCCCCCTTCCCCCATCTCATTAGTTAGTGACCCATACTGATGGTGCCATTTGCAGCCTGATTGAAAAGCCGCAGTGCAGATTGGAACCCTAGTATTTTCTTCTCAATTGCCCCAGTGTGGGATACACATTTTAAAACGCAATTTCAAAGCCCCACGCCGGCCTTAGTCGGGAGCCCTAATATAACCTTAGGATTGAATGGGGTTTCTGGGACTAGTAACCGGGTGATTCTCATTTGAATAATGGCACCAGGTGTTTGGTACAGATTGTGCGTTCCTGGTGGGGTTGAATGTCACTCACTCAGATTCGAACCCTAGACCTTTTGGTTGGCTAGTATCTAGCCACTGTGCTACCATGAGCCCCAGTTACCAGTTAACTCATGGTAAATTGCCTAATACTGGAGGAATCTGTGTTGTGAATGAATGAATGAAATCAGAATTGACATCCGTGCACTCAGGACATTCCCACATGTGAACCACCTCCTTCAGCAGCCAGTAATGAGTGGACATGCTAATAGTACCCCTGGTCACCTGATTAAAAGCCGGCCTCTGTTTCCCCTTCAGTGTTGAGTACCTTCCACATGAGTGACAGTTGTGTGACTGGTCAGTGTTGAGTACCTTCCACATGAGTGACAGTTGTGTGACTGGTCAGTGTTGAGTACCTTCCACATGAGTGACAGTTGTGTGACTGGTCAGTGTTGAGTATCTTCCACATGAATGACAATTGTGTGACTGGTCAGTGTTGAGTAACTTCCACACGAATGACAGTTGTGTGACTGGTCAGTGTTGAGTAACTTCCACATGAATGACAATTATGTGACTGGTCAGTGTTGAGTAACTTCCACACGAATGACAATTGTGTGACTGGCGAAGGAGTGGATGGTGAAAATTGTCTTGCTTTATTTTAAAGTGACACCTTGCTACATGTTGTGGTGAGTGCATTGTTTCCTTGGGTGGCCCTCATACTGATTGTTTTATGGTGTTGTGAACAGTGTAATTCTAGAGTGTCAGGCAGTTTGTTCCAATGTTGTTTTCATCCATTTTACTTCCATACAATCATGTGATGAAGTGGCATGAGGATGGAAGTCATTGTTGTGAAAACATTCCAACAAATGAGTGGTGTAGTGCCTGCAGCTGACACCACTGGTACTGTGTGTTATTGGTTCGTTTCTAGTTGTTTTTTCCCCTGGTAGTTATTATCTGCAGCAAAATTAGATGCGGAGAAATGTATTGTTCTCAACACTTTATATTTGCATTTCTGTTGTTTATCAGTCACTACATTTCTCAGGAAGTTTATTTGATGTCTTTCACTTTCTGTTTTATCAATTAATCGCTACCTTTCCAAGGCTGTTTAAGTGATGTCTTTTACTTTCTGTTTATCAGATAGCTACCTTTCCCAGGCTATTTATGCGATGTTTTTCAATTTCTGTTCATCTGTTAGTCACTGCCTTTCCCAGGCTGTTTATTTGCAAATGATTTTTCCATTCTCTCTTCATACCTTTCCAGTGTCGGAAGTCATGT